GATGGGATTCCAAGCCAGGGAGATGCAAATAGGTCTGACCCACATTCCAGTTCTTGGATACATAAAAACTCCTAAAGGGCAGAGCCCATTTTGTGTGCTTAATTTGAGAGTCCCACTGTGGACAGTCAATATTAAACAACGATAGGTACATCTGGCCAAGGACTAACAGCATGGGTTCAATTAAAATACTGGGAATATGGCTGAGGAACCAAATAAAGGTGCTGAAAGGCTGAATCAAGTAATCATAGATTTTTAGGAGTTTTTTAAAAAAAAAAAACTTCGAAGTCATCCAGTCCAACTCTAATTTTATAAATGAGACCCTGAGAAATTAAAATAATGTGCACAAGGATCTGACACCAGCAGGCAACAGACCCTCTCCTGTCTCCCAGTGCTATTTAACTTTATGTCATAAGGCATGGTAAAAGAATGTTTTCAGGAATGTAACATGCCATAAACTGAAGTTGGACTGGTTGGCTATGCAGTCGTCATTGATTATGAAATGTCTCTCAGATTCAACTTTTACTTATCCCACTGACCAACTGACCTCTAAGAAATCTCTACTGCTGACTTTCAAGTTTAACCAGGTTGGTATTTCTCAAGTGTCTCGTTAATTTTGGTTTCCTGAACTCCTCTCATGTCATTCCCCCTGCCCCCCAAATCTGCTGGCCCTCCAAGCTCTCTCCACTGTTCTTTCCTTATAATTCACCTTCTCCGAGAAGGCTTCTCTGCTTCCTTGTCTTCCCATCAACGTTTATCTTGCTTTGATTTGCACAGTACTCATGTTCACTTCTTTCCTTCCTACCAGAAAAGATTCGTTTATTGCTTGGCTTTTTCTTAGATCCCCAAAGGACAAGATAAATGGTTTCTACTCACTTTTATTTTTTTATGGTGCCTAGGACAATGCTGTGCTCCAGTAAGCACCAAATATTTGTTAAAGGAACAAACCATGTTAACTTCGCTACAAAAGGGAGATTATTGGTAGAAAATGGAATAAAAATCACTTTCATCTGCTAGGTTATTCTGAATTCTCAAAGACTAACAAGTCACATGCACATGAGTTTGACAGTCTATCAAAAAACTAGTTCAGTGATTGATACTCTATCAAAATATTGGTCCATTGGCTCTCAACCCTGGCTGCTCACTCAAATCGACTTGGAAGCATTTATAGCTACCAAGACTTCACCACAGATAACTGAATCAGAATCTGTGCAGGTATGCCCAAGCAATGATTTGCATGCACCACATTGGTATTTGATCTGCACATACTGATTTATACAACCTCACCCTTATTAATAGACTTTTCTAAAGAATGAGCATGATCACATAGGTTTTGTTGTTCTTAGCATCACAGAATTTTAGAACTGAGAACTAAGATACTATCTGGACCAACCCCTTTATTTTACAGCTGAAGATTCTGTGACTTAAGAGAGATTGAAAGAGTAGCCTGACACAGTGTCAAGGTGACTGTTGAGTGACAGGTCATGTCCTGAATTCATGGAATTCTCTGAACTCCGGTTCAGGAGCTGTAGCGAGTAAACCAAACTGTTCAGTTTTTAAATTTCTGCTTTCTTCTGTAGAAAACGTATACAAATTAGTGTGTGTGTGTGTGTGTGTGTGTGTGTGTGTGTGAGATTTGGATTTTAAAAGATGTTAGCACCAGGTACTCCTTAAAGACCAATCTGGCACATTCCATCTAGCCCATTGTCACAGCAGAGAAAATGCCACAGTGGGACATATCAAAGTCCAAAAGAAATGACTAGTATGTATTTGCAGGTTTTTTCATTGGCCCCGATCCATAACATTTTGTGCTATCAGAGCCCAGTGCACTTCTAGCCCTTAACTATACCACTTATTAGCAGACTTATTGCTTGTGAGCAAGCTAATCAACACCCTGAACTTCCCTTTTCTCTATAAAAAGGAAGATAGTGGCTGTCCTATTGACCTTGCATTTTTCAGTTATTAGAAGGATTAAATCAGATGATCTATATGGAGATATCTGAGAATAGTAAAGCACCGTGTGTACATATGTATAGAATTCTTGTATTACGATCCTTCAGAGTAATGACTTGTGAATAATTTTGTGTTGCTTCGATTACCTGGGCTCTAAATCCTAATTCCTCAGTACCATGCCACCCAAGAATCAACAGGAACTGGACTTAGTGCTAGACTAGAAGTTCTAGTCACTGAAAGTATCACATAACTAAATATTCAGGGAGGTAAAGTGATGTACTGACCAGGATTTAGCTAGTCTAGGCTCTAGTCCCAGAGTCTGCTTTTAACTATTGACTTTGGACAAGTCACTTAATTTTTCTGGGACCAGAGTCTCGTCAGTGGTCAAAGGATGACTTGAATTAGAGTCAAAGATCCTTTTGATTTATAAAATCAGAATATTAGTGCTTAATTAAAATTACTAAAGTGCAATTTCCCAAGTCGTTAATTGATGTGGTTTCACGTTTTTTAAATCTCTTTTTAGAAGTACAGGGTTAGAGCCTAAAAACATAAGCCTATTTCTGGTAAACAGACATTTCAAACACATGTGTAAGACCCTCGTTAAAAGAAATATCTTGGGGCACCTGGGTGGCTCAGGTCATGATCTCGGGGTCCTGGGATCAAGCCCCACATCGGGCTGCCTGCTCAGCAGGGAGTGTGTTTCTTCCTCTCCCTCTGCCCCTCTCCAGAGCTCATGCTCTCTCTCTCTTGCTCTCAATAAATAAAGTCTTTTAAAAATTCTGTAAAAGAAACATCTCAACTCAGATACTTTGTGCTTATTAGTATCCTGTCCTGGTGCCCTTGCTCCAAAAATAAATATATGGTTACCCAAAAGTCACAGAATACACTACTGGACACAAAGTAGGCACCCAAATACTATTACCTTACAGCTCTCAGTTTGAGTCCTAGCTCTTGTTACTTAGCTCATCTGAGCCTGTTTTCTTATCTATAAATGGGACAATACCTTCCTCAATGATCCATTGAGATAGTGTATATTAAAATGTTTTTTTTGTAAACTGTTAAAAAAATTGCAAGATATTACTACTACCTAAGGAATGTAGCTTATTATACTGTGACCTCTCTAAGAAGTGTACTTTTTCAAGAGATAGATTAAAATCTTTGTGAATTCATATATTATGGACACAGCACCTACTCCAGTATCTGCCTCAACAAATATGCTCAAATATGCTCAATAAATGGCTGCTGCATGAAAAGTATAATCCACAGAAAGACCAAAAGCTCCATGAGCTTAGATTCCATATTTCTTTTTATCTCCAAATTCCCAGAGCTAGCACAGCATCTGACACATAGAGGAAATACAATAATTATTAGATGAATACATTTTTGTCCCCTCTAGTTCCTCTTCAGCACAGCTCAGGAAGTAGACATGGGCAGAAGAGGCATCAAAGATGATTTTTGGTAAAGGCTGCTTGGAATAGAACTGAAAATTACTTGGGAAATTCACCCACTCTCTAACAAATAGCTTGGGAGAGCAGAAAGAGCATAGACTCTGAGTTCAGGTTCAGTTTCCAAATTGTCCAATCTTGGTAAATTAATCTATTAACCTCTCCAAGACTGTTTCCTCATCTTAAAATGAGAATAAAATGAGAACAGTACCTCCCTCATAGGATTAGGCACTAGAACGGAAGCTCCATAAGAGCAGGGAGGACTTTATTTGGGGCCCACTGTATCTACCCTGTACAGTACTGAACTTTATTGAACAGTGCCAGGCACAACCACAGGTTCTCAAATACTTGTTGACTTTGTGAGAAACTGACTGAGAGGACACAGGTGAAGTATGTAACAGAAAAACTGCACACAGTAAACACTTAGCAAACGTGAGCCTCTTTCCCCTTCACTTTCCACATCACTATCATCACATACTATCAGCATTATTACGCGACTGGCCGCTGTAGAGCAGCTGCCTTCGGGGAAAAGACCCGGATTTAAATCTCTAATTCCCCAATTCCCCATTTACCAGCTGTGTGTCTTAGGACAAATTACTTAACCTATCCGGGTTCCTTTGCTGCCACAAAAATCTCCGTGTCGTGAGAATCAGAAGCTGCATGGCGACCACCTAACACTGAGTCTGGAACCCCCGCGGCACATGAGACGTGGCAGCGACTATTACTAAGGCAAAAAAAAAAAAAAAAAAAATTATCCAGATAACTGCCTGCAATTTCCCACATTACTGCTGCTGAATACATAACATGACCGCAAACAAGGGGAGGAAGGAAAGAATTTCAAAGAGACCGAAACCGCTAAACAAGAAAAAGAGGGAATTAAACCGGTGCTTGGCAGTTCCCACCAAGGGGTGCCAGTTTCCGCGACTGTCAACCTGCCCGACCAGCCAAGGCTAGAGCAGGACAGTCAGCTCCGATAGGAACAAAAAAGAGGCAGAGCCGACGCTTTCCCCCTCCCCTAACGGTCTCTTGGCCGCTGGCCTCGAGCGGCCCCGGGACTCCCGTTTCCGGCCCTGGCCGGACCACAGCTCCCAGCATGCCTTTGGCGGGAAGTCTTTCCCGCTGGATGACTACTAATCCCGGCATGCCATTCGGCACTCCAGTAAATTAGATGGAAGAGTGGAATGCCCCCAACGAACGCAGGGAATTGTAGTCCACTTAACTGCTGGCCCTTAGAGGGGCGGGGAAGAGCCGGGTCGCTCTCGTCAGCTGAGGAGAATGATTCATAGAGGAGGGTCAGGAGAGAAGAACAGTTCTGTCTGCAAGAGCCCACTTAAAAGGCTGACTCTTCTCCGAGGGAGGGAGAGGCAGGAGAGTAAGCGAGGTCTCGGGCCCGGCCCCGCCTCGGGCCGCTCGTCAGACCTCTATCGAGTCCTGGGCCTTGACGGGGGCGGCCGCGAGGCGCCGGTTGCTGGGGGACCGTGACGTCGCGGGGTGAAAGTTGAGGGGCGGTGACGTCGGCCCTGCCCGGGCGGAGGCTGGCGGGTTGGAGGCAGGAGGGAGGGAGGGAAGGAGGGAAGGAAGGAAGCTGGGAACGAGCGAGCGAGCGGGGGCGCGAGGCGTTTACCTGGAGGCAGCGGCTTGGGCGCGCAGAGCGGCCGCGGCTCCCCCGCACCTGCGGCCATGGATGAGGAGCGCGCCCTTTACATCGTCCGGGCCGGCGAGGCGGGGGCTATCGAGCGGGTCCTGAGGGATTACAGCGATAAGGTAAAGAGCCCTGGCCCCGGGCGTGCGGTGGAGCACCCCCGGGCCGCCCTCGGGGCTTGCACATCGCATCCCTCCCAACCCCCTTCATTCCGGGGATGCGCGTTGCTCTTCCCCGAAAACGTTTCCGGCTTGGGCATGCGTGTTTGTGCCCCCAGCCTTTCCCGTCCGTGCATCCTGCATCCCCCTGCCCCCACTCTGGCGCCCACTCCTCCGATTCCGGCCCAGCAGCCTGTCCTACGGTCCTCTTCCTAAGCGTGCAAGTCACACCCCCGGAATCCGTAGATGTGCGTCTGTGCCCTGTGCCCTACTCGGATGCAGAAATGCACGCGAGGCTTCCTCACCTGTATAGCATGAAAAATCCGTGTTTCCGTGCTTAAACACGGCGCTCGATATGCATAAAACATATCAGCCACGATGGCAGTTCTTTGTATACCTACAGCACTGTACACTTTCCAAGGCTTAATGTCTCCTATATGATCTAATTTGATTCTCAGAGTGTTTATAGGGTAGATGGTGTAATCCTTCCCATTTTATAGATGAGAAAACTGAGGCGCTAAGAACTGAAATCATGCCAAGGTCATGGACGTACTATGTTGTTAAGTGGGCGGGGGGAGAGAGATTCTGACTCCGAATAATACCTGTTATTTTGTATCGCCTTAACAACTTTCCCATCCATTATCTCATTTAATCTCAACGGCAGTCCTGTGAGGTTTTATCTTCGTTTTTTGTAATTGAGATTCTATATCGGTTAAGTAACTGGCCCAAGGTCATACTTGTGAGCTGGGATTCCAGCCAAGGTCTTCAAACCATTCATTGTTCTTTCCACTTTACAACTCTGCAGTATAAAGGTATCTTGTTATAAATCCCAGCCACTTCTCTGAATGTTTCTCCAAGAACCGTTAGCTCTCCATTACTTTTCCTTCCAGGAATTTTACATGCTCACTTCAAAAGGTAGCATACCACACCTTTATTCTTCCATTTAGAAGACTACTTTATAGGAATGACTGACTACTCACTTCTGTGAAAACACTCAACACCAAGTCTCACCCCAGATATAGCATTTTTCTTCCTTTCACTAGCTTCCACTCATAGTTTCCCTTTCTGTGTTTGTTATGTCCCCACCACTGCACTTTATTATACTTTGTATGATTGAGCTGCCAGTGTGCCATTTCTGCCCTGGGTGGAGAAGATCCAGAAATAAAACACCTTCATTTCCATTTAATCTTCTCAACAACCCTGTGAGGAAAGTGGTGGTATTCCCCATTTCACAAACGACATTTAGGATAATGTTGCCTCAAGTCCACACAGTCATTGAGAGATGGGGCTGAGATTTGAATCTAGGTTGTCTGACAGCTCTTTCTACAGTACCATGCTGCTTTCTTTGGGAGGATGTATGGATGGATTAAATTCTGTTTGTATCTTAGCTCCTTCACTCTAATATGCTTTGCTGTTGCATATCTGCCTAATTTAGGAGAAATTCATTTAAGGCATAGGTGTACATATTGTAGAGATTATATTCATTTAACGTGATTTATAACTCCTTTCCAAAAAGAATTTGAGGCAGCTACCAACTGATTTTCAAAAGAAAGAGTGTTGAATCAACTAGTATTTATTTTGCAATTACTATATGCCAGATATCCAGCAATAAATAGGAACTTTCTTCTCTAGGGAAGGGAGGAGGAAAAACCTCCAACTGCATCTTACCAGTTTCTTCAATATTTCTCCTTCCCTTCATGGCTAAACTGATTAGAACTCCAGTTTGGATTCCTTGAATTTATCTCTTCCTTTCCTTGATCTCCCTCCAGGTTGGTTTCCACTTAGCACTCCTGGCCAAGTGCTGTCAGAGCTTAGGTTCTGGACATCTCCAGCTCCTCTTTCACATTGAGAATATTTTTAAAGTTGTAATGCCCAGTGTATATTATTTAAGGTGGTATTCCTGAAGTGCTTTTTGGGCCACGCCTGATAATGCTCTGACTTGACTCGAACCCCGTCAGTCAGCTCCTTCAGAAAAGAGCTCTATGTTTAACGCTGATAATAGTAGGGCTAGCATACAAAGAAAATAGCTGAGGTTCATGTTGGCAGTGGGGCTATACCCCTCAAGGCAAGAGAGACCTAGGAGGCAGATCAATAGGAAGGGGAAGTATGATTGTGGTGGTCTGGCAATAAAAATGGGGATGTGGAATTAAATTGCCCAGCTGTGTGGGATATGGAGTTTGAAACCCTGAAAAAGTAGCTGAATACTGTGTGCTTCATTTTCCTATCTGGAAAAATCGATTTGGGAAATGCTTAGAATAAGGGGTGATTATGGGGCATCGAGGAGTCTAACCAAGAATGGAAATGAATGATGTACAGAGAAAGCGACTGGTTCATTGTTTGGGGGAGGAGGTTCTTTATGCTACTTTATTTCTCTAATAAAGCTAGAACTTGGGACAGTTCTAGAAACACATCACACATTTGAGTAGAGTATGTAAATATCCTGGACCACGTAAGAGGACTTTTTCCTTTTGCTTTCCACTTTGGGGTGGAGTTCTGACTCTTTGAGTTCATTCCACGGATTTCTGCAGAGGAGCATGTTTAATGGGCTGTTCCCTCCAGATACTGGAAAGAAGGTAGAATTTAGAGTCAGATAAATCTTGGTTCAGATCTGCCTATTATTGGCTTCATGGCTATGGATGTTATTTTAAGCCTGAGTCTTGGCTTCCTTATCTGTAAAATAGGGATAACATTACCTAAGTTATCACATGGCTTACATTAACTGAAGTTTAATGCTGTACACTGAGCACAGTGCACCTAGGAGGCTTTTACTCAGTGAGTTATAGTTCTAATGATCAAGGTACTCAAAAGGTCCTGTGGCCATAGGGCAGGCTCTGGAGCCAGACCGCCTGGACTCTGATCTTCAACTTACCATCCATGTGGCCTAGGACAAATTATATAATTTTGTTGTGCCTCAGTTTCCTCACCTGTCCAACAGGGACAATAATAGTACCTACATCATAGGTTTGTTGTCAGGATTAAATGAGTTATATGTCTACAGCACTTGTAACAGTGCCTGGTGGTGAAGAGCCTGTCACTGTTAGTTTTGAACAAAAAAGGCAGGAGTTAAAACAGCAGTGAGTTGAAGTAGCCTGATAAAAAAAATTAGGGAGTATACTCCATCCTTTCTCTTTTTCCTTGACCCTTACATTTTTCTAATGGGTAGCAAAATACCTTGTACCATGTTTAGAGCACAGTTAGCTATCTGGCTCCAGGTAACAACATCTAATTTCTACTGTATTACTGAGACTAATTTTCAAGCTTTCTTCCTTCATTCACTGACCCTTGTTATTCTGGGGAGAGGGAAGAGCCATCTATCCCAGAAAAAATGAAACGTGTCTGTTTCTCAAGGACATAATGCACGTTGACCCAGCATAGGAAAGTATTAAAAAACAAATAGGAAGAATGGTTGTTCTTTTTCATTTGTCTCAATTCACCTGTTAACCTTTATTGAGTCCTTGCTATGTACTACGTATTATCTATCCCAAGCATTTTCACATGTCATCACATATAATTCTCTTACATTAAAACTTATGAGGGAGATACAAGTATTCTCTTTTGGCGGGGAATAGGAAATTGAGGTTCAGAAAGACAAAGTGACTATCTATGGGCTCAAGGGCACATAGCTAGAAGTGGCAGACCTAGTCTTTAGATTCCATATCCAGGCTCTTTTTGCAAGGTCATGTTGCCTTTAACCTGTCCTGTGTTTTTGAGCACAGAAGAGAAAAAGGTTTTCAGGACCAATACACTACTTCCTTTGGTTACTGTTCGGTCCTAATCACCTCCACTCCAGTTATAGAATGAGCTATTAATTATGGGACATATGGATTGTTCTAGTATAGGCTGTCCAGGCTCCTTCTCCTCCTTCAAGGCCTGTTCTGATAACAGATTTAGTAGAGGGGTGCCTGGGTGGCTCAGTCGGTTAAGCGTCTGCCTTCAGCTCAGGTCATGTTCTAATTGTTTCCAGACTGGATCAAGCCCCACATTGGGCTCCCTATTCAGCAGGAAACCTGCTTCTCCTTCTTCCTCTGCCCCTTCCCCTGCTTCTGCTCTCTCTCTCTCTCTCATTCACTCTCTTTCTCAAATAAATAAAATCTTTTTTTAAAAAAAGGTGGTAAACAAAACACAAAAAGAGATGTTTAAATAAACTCAACTGTGCTATTTATCACAATAAATGTAAATAGAATGTATTAGTTTTCCAGGTCTGCTATTACAAATTACCACAAACTTGGTAGCCTGAAACAACTGAAATTTACTCTTTCAGTGTTCTGGAGGCCAGAAATCCAAAATCAAGGTGTCAGCAGGGTCCTGCTCCCTCTGAATGGTCTAGGGGAGAATCTTTCCTTTGCAGCTTCCACCTTTGGCTTGTGGCTACATAACTCTAACCCTGCCTCCTTCTCATGGTCCTGCATTGGGCTCCTTGCTCAGCGGGGAGTCTGCTTCTCCCTCTGCCTCTGCCCCTTCCCTCCACCCCCCCCACCCCCAGCTCATGCTCGTGCACTTGCTCTCTCTCTCTCTCTCTGTCAAAATAAATAAAATCTTAAAAAAAAAACATATAGTAGAGAGATTGGTTGCCATCATTATGATTATCAGAACAAACAGTGATCAAGGGCCCCGAGATGTGCAGTAGTATCTTAGCTCCTTGAATCAGACGATATTTAGACTAGAAGGAATCTCAAAGGTAATTAGATCTGTCCCCTTCAGTTAATAGGTGAAGAAACTGAGGCCTAGAGTCATCAATTATGATGATAGAGAGATGGCTTAGTGGCCATAGAGACTACCTGGGCTTATGATTACCCCATAGCAATCTCCAACAGGATTCCATTTTGGAAGTAGGGCAAATTTATGACCAAATTAAAGATAAAAGTTATCTGAGATACAGGCAAGTAGGTAGGTCTCCCAAGAGTAGTCCTCATAAGAGAGGAAAATGATACTGATCGCTGTGAGGTCTTCATTTATGTGCTAGAAGGACCTGATTGATAGGGACCTAATATTGAGACAGTTCTAGAAATACAGGCTACACATTTGAAAACGGTATGTAAATATGCTGGACCATGTCAGAGGACTTCTTGCTTTCCACTTTGAGGTGGAATTCTGACTCTGAGCTCATTCCACAGATTTTTGCAGAGGAGCATGTTTAGTGAGCTGTTCCTTTGTTATACCTTGTTCTTGTTTCCAGACTGGATTATATAATCTCTGGCATTTAGTTCTAGGAATAATCTCTATTCATGAAACACAGCACAACACACACACATACACACACATACACACACCACCCCAGTAGGCTAATTCCCTTGTATGAGTACTGTTTGAGTGTATCTCCTAAAATGTGAAATAACTCCTAGTTCTCTAGTACGTCAGTATTTGGCTAGATGCCACATCATAGGCCATGCTATAATAACAATAGTGGCCACTTATTGAACACCTGCTATGTGCAAGGTGCCATACATAAAAGATAAGGAAACTCTGACAGGTAGTAAAGTTGAATAACTTGACCAAGGTCACACTTTCAGTAAACAGCAGGACTGTACTCAAACCCAGTGCTGTCTGACTCCTGAGCCTGAGCTTTTTAGAGTCTACTCATAGGATATGAAACCTATGTGGAGGAGTCCTCTTAAGTCTGGTGTGTCCCTGAGCTGTTCCTAGTTTACTTGGTCTCTAAACTGAACAATGGTTTTACTCTTTATATTTGACTTGTTGCTCCTGTTCATCTGGAAATTAAGCATATAAAGAAGGTGAGGTGGTTGACTGTTGGCTAGCAGTGCTATAAAGGTATTTACAGCCAGAAATGCTGGCTCCCCTTCCCTTCCCTTTCAGCCTTAGAAAGGGTATAGAATAAGAGCAAGAAGTACTGAATAGATTAGGTACAGTCTAAGTTGTGTAAAAGAAACCAGCCTTAGAGAAGCCAACATCTTTGGATCTAAACAGTCTTAGAGGGCTGAGCTCCTGAATAGATTGGCACATTCAAAATTCAATTTGTATGGCCTCACATGCCAGTATATTTTCTAATTAAATTAAGCCCTTGTGTTAGGGCTTTTGAAAGCTTTTCTTTCTTTCTTTCTTTCTTTTTTAATGTTGCGGTTTTATGACCGGATCAGCCTTGCATTTAAAAGCAACAGAAAATTTAGTCCTTGGTACTATTCTAAATTATCACCTTAAAAGAGAAATTCTATGTAGAAACTGTCTTAAAAGATATTTTTATAACTTAATGAGGGTCTTTCCAAAAGATGATTTCTTTCTCTGTTCCTTTACCACAAATGCCAGAAAAAGTTTAGGAGAACCATTATATTGGCAGCTAGGTTCATTTATTCCAGATAATTTATGGATTTAATATTTCACATATAATGGCAACAAAATCAGCTTTCTTGGTCTCTGCAATTTATTTTCATTTGTATTGGACTTTTATTAAGCTTCAGTTTACAACCTTAGCCTGATGTCTGCTGCTTCTCTATCTAAAGTTAGTTTTTATTAAACCTCACCTATAAATTCCTGCATTATAGACTTCAGATTTACAACTTGTTCTTCCTTTCTCTTTTCTTTCTTTCCTTGTTCATTTATTCATTTATCTTTTATTTTTTAAATTTCCTTTTTAATTATAAAAATAATATACCAACAATGAATTTTGTCAGACCTCACCAGAAATCCTACCACTGCTGTATAGTTGCTTTTATTTTTGCATTTTAACACTCAAGCCTTTGTTCGAATGCATCCATATACTTATGCAGGTACTGTATAAGAGACATCTAGCTTGGTGTTTTACTATTTTTCCATCTGATAACATTATAAGTAATTTTCTATGTTGTTACAGAGATTTTTAGCCATCTTTTGTTTTAATTGCAATATAATATTTTACCAGGTGGATGCACAGCAGTTATTTAATCCATCTCCTGTTGTTGGATATTCAGATCGTCTCTTTCTTTTTTCCATAATATTAGATAACACTGCAGTGAATATGCTTACGTATATAATTTTTCTCTCCTTCTGAATGATTTCTTTAGGATAAATTCCTAGGAGTATAGAAGTTCTGGGTCGAAGGATGTGAATATTTTTATGTTTTCTAGTATATGTTGCCAAATTACTTTCACTTTTAGAGTTTATGTCAGTTTATACTGCTGCCAGCAGTATCACACCTGTATTATTGATGCCCATTTCTTAGAAGGCTTTATGTCTTCAATCTTGCCCTCCTTTGATCTGGCCTGTAAGCAGCTGCCCAAAATATTCTTCCAGAATGCTCTACTGTTCACACCTTCCTCAGAGTCTTCCTTTAGTTGCCTGTCACCTATCTGGCAGTTCAGGTATAAATTTTTAAATTCAAGCCCTTCTTACCACCTGACATCATCCATTTTAATTGTTTTGCAAACCATATGTGAGGCAGCCTCTCTTGAGTTTCTTCAAACAGCCCTTCTCTCTTACCTCTCAGTCTTCCCCCTGACCATTTCTTAAATTAAGAACTGCTTCCCTGTCAGCATTTCTCCATCTCATTTAATTTCTAAAATTGCTTCTTCTACAAAGCTGACAACACAGAACCACCTGTAATGATGATATCTTTAGTGCTTTGGCAACTCCTGATGAGTTGCCAATAAATGTCAGTGTGGCCAATGAGAAAAATACAAAAGAAGGGCAGAGATGTTCAGTGGAGATTTTTTTAAAGGAAAACTTAGGATTCATAAGAGCACTTGGTTCTCCTGAATAAAACTTGAGAAAGAGAATGAGAAGTTCTGTGCTCTCTTTTTTGGTACTATCACTGTTTCTGTGACAGTGGGCAAGGTAACTTACTCTATCCTCTGTTTTAGCTACAGAGTGGAAAATACAGTGTTGCCAATCATTTGGAGAGTCATGACACTCTGTTCTCTTCTAATTATTTTTTTGTCAATATCATTGGCATTATCATCATTATAATCCTAATATTTACTGAGTGTTTACTCAGCGCCAGGCACTGAGATGGTAGGTTATATGCCTTAGCTATTTTAACCCTCACAGCAGGTCTGTGAACTAGGTACCCCCTCTTTTCATAAGAGAAATACAGTGATAGAGATTTTGTTACTTGCTCCACTAGTTAGTGGTGGAGCCATAATTTAAACCTTAATTCTTAAAGAATTACTTTTCGGAAATACCAATCTATCAAATTTCTTTCCTGTCTACAATTCTCTGATTATTTCTAACTGAATGTGAAAAAGAAAGCAACATTGGGTCTTAGCAATACTGGAAGACCCTTCCAAATTTCTGTCCAATTTACTTTTCCATTCTCCTCTTTCTCCACGCCCTCATCCCCTCACATGTGTCCTCTATTTCACTCTGACAGACCTGTTTATTTCACAAATATATCATACCATTTCACACATCTGAGCCTTTGTTTCTGTCCTTAGAATGCTTTCCATTTGCCTCCTGGCAAACTCCTACTCATCCTCCAATATCCAGCTCAAATGCTCTATACTTTTTGCAAAGTATTCCAGATTTCCTCAGGCAGAGTTGGTGGCTTGGTACTCTGTTCTTTTGTCCGTTTTTCTGCTGTAGTCTTTCTTTTTCTTTTTTTTCTTAAGATTTTATTTATTTATTTGACAGAGAGAGACACAGTGAGAGAGGGAACACAAGCAGGGGGAGTGGGAGAGGGAGAAGCAGGC